CCCCCCCCCCCCCCCCCCACGACAGCGCCCACCCAGGATCCTGTTCTCGCACTGTGAGATCTACGCCTCCACCGCCGTGCTGGGGTCTGCCGTCTACATCGCCACCAAAGCGGCGGGTCTTCCCCCGGGTAATGTAATGAAAGATGATGAAATGCTACCACACTGCACACGTTTCCTTCTGCTGCTGCTACTGTGGAGAGATTACAGTTTGCAAGGCTTTGGATTTGGTGCTGTTGCGGAACTGCTACAGCAGTTCACGTTGCGTTCGGCGTTCCGTCTCGTGTATGTCGATATTCCTGTTGGTTTTTGTTGATACGGAGCCACATACAGACTCTTGATGGTTGCTGGAGACGGTTGTGATGCCAGTTCGTTCGCGCGCCATGAGCTTTTTCGCTCTCTTCATCTCTCTGTGGTGGCATAGTCAATCCATTTCTGTCTCTCTCGCACTCTCGCAAATGCCTCCCTTCTGTGCCGCCTCTCGGGCCGAAGCCAACTTGGCGCCGCCTACCCTCGAAAAAATTCTATCCTCGTTCCACGCGTGCCCGCAAAGCTCTCCCTCCCACTTCCCTGCATTATTTTTCGCTTCGGTCGTCCGAATCATGCGCGTGACCACTCTCCCCGCTTCCTTGTACTTTTTTCTTGTTTTGTTGCCGGCCTGGTATGGATGTTATTATGCAGTCGTGCGAATCATGAGCGGTTTCCTGTCGGCAGTCGCCCTCCGGGTGCTGGCCTTCACGACGGACATCAGGCTGCCCATCTGGACACAGCCTTCGAGGGCCGTTATTGGAGAGGAACAGCTGGAGGAGGTGGAGGCCGAAAGCGAGGCCAAGAAGATTCACTTGGGGGGTGATTGACATGATTGATGATCATCGACGATCATGATCATCGTCACCATGATCATCGTTGTCCTCGGGATTCGACACTTGGGGATGATGATGATAGTCTACGATCATGGTCATCGTCGTCATGGATCGATGCCGAGCTTGGTTCGTTGGATCTTCTGGGGTCGACAGCCTCATCATGGCTCTGTTTGCTCTTCCTTTTTGCCTGGGGGGGCGGTGGGGGGTAGGGGGCGGAGATAACACGAGCGGCAGGGAAGGCTTTCCGATGGAAGACCATTGGGGGGATGGGAGTGGCGGCGGCCCGCGAGCGAGGCTGAGGTGGATCGATACAACAAGTGGAGAGCTTGATTAGTTTTGATCATTTTGTTTTCGGGTTGCACGACATGGCGGAAATCTCGCTAACAACACAAGAGACGTACAACGAGGTGGGGCCAGAGAGAAAGGTCGCAAATGCGATTGGTTTTGATGGTTAGCTTATGGTGATGCAACGACAGGCTGGTGCCGGGGAGGAAAGACGGGTCGGGGTCATGGTTGCCGTGTCATGTACCGGTACGCTTGAGATGGTGGCCCCGCAGGAAGATCTCGAAATCGATGCTCCTCCGATGTTTCCTCCGAATCACCAACTCCATGCATATGGGATGCGACATGGCTTGGTTTGTAGTGGTCAGAGAGCGGCACAGCTGTGGGTGGGTGTGTTTTTATATGGACTGGGGGATGGAGGGTTGGGGCAGTACTGCTGTACCGCTGTACCCTTCGCAACGATATTAAGATTGGTTTTAGTAGGGGGTACGGGGTGGAGGGTTGGGGGCTAGGGTGAGGGATGAGGACACGAAACCCCCCTCTCTATTTCGTAAATTATGAATGAAATCCTCTCGAAGGCGGTCCGGTTGGGGGGAGGGTGGGGGGGGGGGCTGCAGATGTGTACTCATGCCTCCTNGGGGGGGGGGGGGGGGGGGGGGGGGGGGGGGGGGGGGGGGGGGGGGGGGGGGGGCTGCAGATGTGTACTCATGCCTCCTTTGTTTTTTCTTCTTTGGTTGTACGCCCCCTAGGCCAGCGCGTCTTCAGGCGGGGACGGACGGGTGGAAGAGGGGAAATCCGTTTTTCCCCCCGACACTCTCTGCCTTGCTCACGTCTGGCCAGTGAACGTGGCTCGTTTCGTTGTGTTCAAGAAATTTTGGCGTTGGTTGACGTACGTAAGTGTAGGCAGACTATTGAATAGTCGAAACCCTTCCAAGTCTTCTTTGATGTTCTTGGTCAAAGCCTACCGTGGTGGTCTCAGCCGATCGATGTGCATGTATAGATCGTGGTTGGCAAGCGTCGATCTGGGCATGCCGCTCGATTTCGGCGTCTCTGTAGTCGCTGTGTGTGCGTAGCAAGTCACGCGATGCAGTTTTCTCTGTACCGTAGTGTCGCCGCTCTGTAAAACGAACAACAACGATGGGTTTCGAGTAGCAGAGCGGAATTGGGGTAGGGAGGGATCGACTTTGCTTGATGGTTATCATGTTGTAAATAGGAGGCTGGGCAGAATGTGTGCTGGTCAGAGCTATCGCTCCAGTAAGTGGTGAGATGTTGATGCATGGACATGCACGAAGCCCGGGCAAATCATTCGCAACCGCGCTTGGTTGTGGTATCGGTGTTATACATTATTTTTGTTATTCCGTGTTCCGCTTTGTGTTTTTCTAGTTTATTTACAGGGTTGGTTGCAGTACGTCGATATTAATTTGTGTTCCAGCATACACAGCGTTGTTCGCTTTTTTATTGTCTTCCCTACAATATATTCAAAGATGCCCGTTATTCCTCGGTTTGACTATCCTTTTCGGTTGTCGCCCATTCCTCGTTTTGGCTATCCTTTTCGATTGTCGCCCAGTTCATGACTTTGTTTTTGTTGTTTTTTTTTCCCTCTCTCTCAAAGAATCAAAGAGAGTCGGTTCGCTGAGCGAGCATTCAACATTCAACGCCACGTTCTTTCGCAATGGATGACCTACAATCACAACCAATCTCGTCTGTCGGTGCGCGTGTTCTCCGTGAACCAGCCCAGAAGAGAGATCGGTCGCTGTTTGTTGAGAAAAACGCGTTTATTTTTCCTTGTGTTTGTGTCTCAGAGGGCGTCTGTCTGTTATAACGGTCTGGCAGGGGAAACTATGCATCCATGAGTGTTTTTTTCCCTCTTTTTTTCTTAATATTTTGCACCGCGAACCTATCTATATCCACGGACAAGAGTCGGGAATAATCAACAACAAATCAATAGCGTTAGCGAAGCGCTACCAGTGTTCTACGGTGTCCACTACGCTTTCGTTCTTTTCCCTACCAAAACGTAGCAAAATACGTTGCATGTGTGTGTGTTTTGTGTGTTTTCGTCCTATTTATTATGGCGACAGTCCCCCCATTTTTCGTGGTGAGACGTGTACTACACTTTTCAGCGTATGTAGAGTACTACAATTTTCAGTGTAATTTTTTCGTACAACTACAACCATCCAGGGTCACACAGGAGGGGGTAAACACCAGGGCTTTTTCTTTTTTTTTCTTTTCATGCCCCACCTTCCTCCTGCGGTGCGTGCTGAATTTTATTTTTGTCGCGAGAAGGTCCAGCCGTCCCTTTCCCTCGTCAACGGTGCTAACGTCGAAGTTTGGTACTCACGGGAGCTTTTTAGCTATATGTCGCTTTCACCCGCAAATGTCGTAATTTTTTCACCCCATCTGCGACTAAATAGCGGATTACGAGGATACCACTAGACCACCGGGGCGACCGGTTGTCATGTGTAGTGGGTGGCCGAAGTAGCCGAACGGCCCGCCCGGTCCCTTCAACGAGGTTTTGACACTCGGCACGGCATCCCCCCCGCATCTATTTCGATCTGCGGAAAAGCAAGCAAACATTACAGCCGACATCGTTTCGTCGCCCTTCGCTGTGCGTTGTCGTTGTTTTCCCCACCCATTCCACTTTTGAGTGATAACCTAAACACTCAACACATGCTGAAGACTAAATACAACGCGTGCCCTTGCGCTCGAGTCAAAGTTTCCAAAGTCTGTGCTGTTCATGTTCAGCGCTTGTTGAGAGATGAAGTGCGGTGTTAGTCTAGTTTGCTTAGACGGGCTGCTGCACCTCGCTGGGAAGAAGCACACGCAGTTCCATTCCATTCTCAGGATACCATTTCTCTAACCTCCGTGCTGCCTGACTGGATTGCGGTGGTGTACAACCAAAAACATTTTTTTTGTCGATAAAAAATGTACCAACGACTTTTCCTTTTTTTGACACGCTTCCTCAACATGCTGTGTGTATGTCATTAATGAATACTTGGCGCCAGCCGGATATGGAACTGAATGGCGCGTGCCTTCTGTGCCTCTCGTAAAGAGACAAGGAGAGAGAGGGGTGGGGGGTGGGGAAGGGCCGTAGGCAGCGTGGGAGAGGGAAGATATGTACGGGGATTTGTTGGTCGTGTCCCCGGGGTTTGCACGAGGATTCCTACAAGTTTCGCCGCATTTTTCTTTCAAATCTGGGCGCTGCCGGTGCTCGCCCAAAACTCGAGCTGAGCAGAGATCACCAGCAGCAGGAAGAACCTTGCCAGACTTCAGCCAGACAGCATCTTGACTGTCTCGACGAACGCAGAGGTCTCATTATCCCGTGGTCGAACACCACAGAGCGTTTCAGCACTACGTCTGCGAGATCATATTTTGAGTGTCCGGCTTCGCTGTAGAGACACAAAATCGTCAACAACAGGACGCGTATTCAGCATGCCAGGCGGTACCAGAAGCAGCAGCAGGGGGGAAGGAGGTGAGAGCGATCAGCGCACAGGTGGGGCCAAGAGGAAAGATCTTGACCACTGTTGTGTCCACGGGCGTGTCCTTGTAGGTCAGCGCGTGTCGAGGGTGCGGTGAAGATGTACGAGGCGTCCTGGGTGATGCAGGCTACAGTAATCTAGATATTTATCTCGAGTCGTTGCACAGAGCCAGCCTGGGATCAGCCAACCCACGTGAACGATCACCATCGCGAGGCATCGACGTCCCCTAGCCGCCCCATGTCTGACGAAGCGGCTGGTTCAGACCACGCCGCCTTCATCCAGATGTGCGCGCGACGCGAAAGACGTTGTGTGAGACCTCAAGCCGCTATCGACAGATCCCATCAAGTCGAAAGCACCAAAAACCTCTGACCTCCGACAAGAGGGGGAGAGAGAGATGGCATGCACACCTAGGCTCCTGAGGGGTGTTCATGAGACGGGCGATAGCCGAGCTTCATCTGGTGGCCATCCAGAGTGTTCACCCTAAGTTTTTCGTACAGGGTGGAGGGCTACGATTGAGTATAGCGATTGCTACGGAGGGCTCTCTGTTCGTTGAGCGCTTCCTTTTCGTGGGCGAGCACATATAAAGCTTTTGCCCTGGATGAGCTCGTTGTGGACCAGTTTGTACCTTTGCATCTGCAGCGTGAGCGCACCACTCTCGGCTACACAAGCCTCGCTTGCTCCTTTTTGTGACCCCGTTTCAGGACGAGCTCCTGCTGCCGGTGTGTCTTCTCTCTTGCGCAACCTGGAACCACGTTTGTTTGTAGACTACGCTTGCTTGTTCGGTCGTTTTTAGTGTTCGCACCCAAATCCCGCTCTCGTTGTCTCCTCTTTCTTTTTCCATCACAACCCCAACATGAGCATCCTGATTTTCCGTGTGACAACCCCAACATGGGCATCGTGTAGGACGTTGGGTTTCGGCTACATGTACGTAAACAATCTATATCAGATGGTCCTGGTCCTCATGCTGGGAATGATTGTCAATCGTGCCGCCCGTGGAAACAGTTCAAGGGATTGTAACTTGTCTGATGAGGAGGAGGATGAGGAAGGAACTAGGACGCACGGTGCCAATAGCTACTACTACGCCTCGATTAGGATAATATATGCTTGCTGCACCTATGATAGCAGGACAAAACCTGTTATTACTGCAAGGCATCTACCCAGACACGAAATAATCAACTCCAGCTACAAAACACAAAGAGTGGCTGCTGCCTATTGTTATTGTTCCAACCACGCGCAGCAGGAGTGTGAAACTGTATCGACCAAGGAATGGACCAATCATCTCAAAGTCTGAGAGGCCAACAACGTATCCTTCTGCCCCCGCTCCCCCCCCGCCGCTCTCTTTTCGATTTGCTCTGTGTTAGGTGGGGCGGCCATGACTAGTGGAGAGAAGTGGGCTACCCGAAACTCGGGTATTGCGGTAGACATCAACCTGTGGGATCTGCGAGACCTCCCCAAGACTAGCACCGTCAAGAGGGGTGAGTGAGGTGGAGGCTTCAAACAGATAGATGCGGTCGAGATTGTGAAATTACATGGTTGCCTGGCAGCCCGGCAGCGGAAACGATGAACAACAGCCCGGACCCCCCCTCCCCAGTCATGACCCCCTCCCCTCCCCCCTGATCGGGATTTCGTCGCTTGGCAACGACGTTGTAAAACAAGCCAATTCACTTCGTGAACTGGGCAACCAGGTAACCGTTTTTTGTTTTTTACCTCTGTTTTTTTTTTGGCGGTAACCATGAATGGTGGTCGAGTAGGTCATGTTGTGCGGGGTCGAGAGCCCTCACTCCGCGCAAGGGGGATGATCGCATCACGTTGTGTTAAAATGATCAANGCTTGGCAACGACGTTGTAAAACAAGCCAATTCACTTCGTGAACTGGGCAACCAGGTAACCGTTTTTTGTTTTTTACCTCTGTTTTTTTTTTGGCGGTAACCATGAATGGTGGTCGAGT